AGCAGCCGTAATGTTCTTCACTGGAACTGCTATGGGGAATCTGGTGGTAGGACACAGGATGGTTAAGATATAGGCGTTACCTGAACTGGTCCGAGGTAAAGGACCAACACAGTCTATAATAAGTCTGTGGAAAGGTTCCGCAGGCACCTGTATGGGAATCAGTGGCGCTCTGGGAATAGAGATGTTCGGTTTACCTGCCCTCTGACATGTATGACACTGTTTGACGTACTGTTTGACGCTATTTACCATACCTGGCCAGTAGTAGTCTTGACGGATTCCATGGTAAGTCTTGTTGAATCCGTAGTGGGAGAGTGCTCCGTGGGCCAGGTGTAGAATAGTGGGCTGCAGGCTGGCAGGAATCACAAGTTGTTCGACGTTGGCCCAATAGTCCTCCTCCTTCAGTTTACTGGGTCTATATCTGCGGTAGAGCAACTCGTTCTCTAGGAAGAACCCAGGAATACTGTCGGGTTGAGTCTCAGCCTGGAAAAATAATGGTGTCAAAGTAAGATCTTCCCTCTGTAACTTACGGAACTCCAACTTGGTCAGATTCGGGGGTAGTTTCTGAGGGTCTTGAGGGACAGCGGCAGCAGTAGAGTCAGCTGGCTGTGGTCGTGCGGCTTGTGCACGGGTGGTCACTAGAACCGGAGGAGAAACTTCATCACTCTCTTGAACCTTTGCTGGAACATACTTAAATATAGGGTTATCCGTCACAGAGGTACACACCTGGGGTTTGTCCATGACGATCAGGTTGGTCGGTTGCAGGTCTTCTGCCAAGTCGTTGCCCAGGAGAAGTTGCACTCCAGGCATGGGAAAAGGCTTTTCCCTGACGGCGACTTGGACTTCTCCGTTCACGAAGGGACAATCCAGGTGGACTCTGGCGAGAGGATAAGGAGTGGTAGCAGTGAGGTCAGTGATGAAGACAGTTTCTCCGGTGTAGGCGATGTTGGGCACAGCCGACTTCAAGATGATCGATTGAAGAGCCGATGTGTCCCTCAAGATCTTCAATTTGAAACGTCCCTCCGGATTTGAACCGTAGGCAGAGACAGTTTCCAGTATACAGGTGGTTACTGAAAAGAGAAAGATCATTAACATGAACACCAACATTCATCACAGGCTTACCGGACTTAGGAGGAGTTGGTTTGGGTCGGTGGTTCCTTTGTATTGAGACTTACCACATTTATCTATGGTATGTCCATAGAGTCTACAATACTTACAGTACAATTGCGAGCCAGCTTGATCGGTACTTACTTTCTCGTAACTGTACCACGACTTCTTACTGGAAGATGGTTCGGGTGTCAGCCGGTGGATGAGGCTGTAAGTGTCAGCCGACTTAGCACACTTCAGGTAGTCGGTTTCTTCTTTATCTGCTAAATATAGACGGACAGGAGGCGGCCCACGCCTCAAGAATTCTTCAACTAGCATCAGGTTGACGAGTTCTGTAAAGGTAGAGACATGTGCTGCTTCCAGCCATTTCATAAAATATCTCCTTTTGGTGTTAGCAAACTCGAGAAAGGTAGTGGTACTTGCCTTCAGGTGGTCACGGAATTTCCTTCGATAACTTTCGGTGGAGAGAAGGTAGGCGTCCAACACTGCTTGTTTCAGAGTCTGGTAGTCATTCTCAGACGCCAAAGTACTGAGTGTGACTGCAGCTCTTCCTGTAAGATGTACTCTGAGAAGGGTGGCCCATTGGTCGGCAGGCCAACTGAGTTGATTAGCAAGGGTTTCAAAGGTGGTGAAAAACACGTCAACTTCTGTTTCTACAAATGATGGCATTACCTTACTTGCATGTGATATATTAAAACTGATGGGAAGATTGGCAGTAGCTTGCTGGCATTGAGCGAAGTGTGAAGTTTCCAACGCGAATTCTCGTTGACGACATTCCATACCCAGGGTTGTTTGTTGCTTGTCATGTTCGTGTTGCATCTCCAACTGGCGTCGTTTTGTTTCAAGCTGTATTCGTTCACGTTCACGGAGTATTGCAATCTCACGTTCTTGTTCTTCCTTCCTCAAGGCAGCCTCACGTTCTTGTTCTTCCTTCCTCAAGGCAGCCTCACGTTCTTGTTCTTCCCTTCGTAGGGCAGCTGCTCGTTCTTGTTGCTCGAGGGCTTCCCTTTGCTGCTCGCGTTCAATCTTGGCCAGCTCTATTTTGAGTTTCATCGTTGCCAAATCAGTTTTATCTGCAATAAAGTGAGTTTCGTGAGTTTCAGAGTCTATCTTACCTTGCTCTATGAAGTGATCCAGCAACAGGTTGTGTATTTCATTTTTGTTGGCTTGGTAGGGAACTTCTAGTTGATACTCATGTGCATGAGTTTGTAATTCAGTCCTCTTGGCACGACTTAAAGTCCCTATTTCACCTTCTGGATCTGCACGGAAAGCTTGGAGACGAAACATTGTGAAATTAGCAAATAAATGCACAACGAATATACCGTTGTGATATAGTGAATGTCAGAAACAGGACAACGTGGCAACTGGTACCTATCCTGTGGAATCTTTAACAATTAAAGTTAATTACAAGATGTTAAATGATTAATTTAAATCAAGGTCGCAGGAAATCTTGTACCCGGTACTCATGTAAGAGGATAAGGGCAAGAAAATCCTACTAGAGGGACAAAAGATGGTAAACACGAGTAATAACACGGAGGGAGAGATGACCAATTAAGAGTATGACTGAGGCCTACAGTCACCACGTAATCCAAAGTTGTCTCACCTTCACTATATGCTACTCTCGGAATACACAATACACACAGCACCATATAAAAATGAAATTGAATATGAAAAATAGTAAAAAGCTACGTTACCAAAGCCAAATACGCTTACCATAAATTACTACTTGGCACCAGTACCTGAGTGAAGCTCCTAGGGCAGGCCCCCACTTTATGTGACGGTAACGCGTTGGTGTTCGGCTGTTTCAAAAGCTAGGGGCATGGCCACGTCACATAAAGAAAAAAAAAGAGAAAAGCTTGAACTTTCGTCTGTGGTAAGGTAATGGGAAGACACACAAAACACAAGTAAATTTAACAATGAAATTTTAATTACGTTAGAAAAGCAAGACATGAATAAAATTGAGCATAAAAATGTAACAGATAAATCAACAAACAAAATAATAAGAATAATCACTGGCAAATGAAAAGTTACGTTAATACAAGTGAATAATAGCAAAGTAAATAATAGTGCAGGAATATTGGATTCAAGCTGCCACCTCCCTTAGTACACGTAAGCCAAGGCTTAGTCTACCAATGAGACGTGTCAACTGTGTGGAACACTAAGATATTCTGCCTTCCCTAGGTCGCTATAGCCCAGACATCAACTCGTGGTGGCGGGTGGTGGGGCAGGTGCGACTGGGCACCAGCCAATCAGCGACAGGCAGGCGATGGACAAGCAGTTTGCCGGTTAACGGTGGCAGAGGCAAGCAGGTGCGCCGGTGGGCTGGATACGTTTTGCTCTCTGGGCAAAACGTTTTGGTGATACTTGTTGGATATATCTTCTATATTATTTGTTAATGGGACGTACTTTGGAGGGAAGAGCAGGCTCAATCTCTCTTGAAAGAGATTACCGTCACAATATATATATATTATATGTTGACCAGACCACACTCCAGAAGTTGAAGGGACGACGACGTTTCGGTCCGTCCTCTACCATTCTCAAGTCAATTCTCAATCGACTTGAGAATGGTCCAGGACGGACCGAAACGTCGTCGTCCCTTCAACTTCTAGAGTGTGGTCTGGTCAACATACTTCAGCCACGTTACTGTGACTCATTGCCTGTATATTATATATATATATTATATATATATATATATATATATATATATATATATATATATATATATATATATATATATATATATATATATATATATATATATATATATATATATATAAGCAGAACGCTTTAAAAGAGACCAACGTCGTCTATGCCTTCAAATGCCCTCTTGGGGACTGTATGCCTCAAAAAACTCAGTATATAGGCAAGACAATAACATCTCTTTCCAGGCGTTTAACGATGCATAGGCAACAGGGCTCCATTAAGGATCATATAATCTCTTCCCACAACCAAACCATCACCAGAGAAATCTTAGCAAAAAACACAGAAATCATCGATAGATACAGCGATAGCAGGCGGCTTGACGTCTGCGAGGCACTACACATCAAGAAGTCAACACCAGCAATCAACAGCCAATTAATGCACAACTATATTCTACCCACTTCAAGACTCCGCTCCAATATAGAAGCATCAAGAAATATGGACCAATAGGCTTTCTACAATTACTTCCATTCAATACCCATTGTTTCGTGTTCTGTCTTGTGTTTGAATTTAATACCCATTCAATACCCATTGTTGAAAGTTTGTTTTCACCTCATCCACCTCACCCAAATGTAGATATAAAATCGAAGATGTGTAAGCTCTATTCAGTTTCAGTTGTGTGTTTGTAAACTAAAGTCTTTGAAAATGTAATAAGTTTTACGAAACGCGCTCAAGTGTCGCGTCAGACTAGAAAATAATAATATATATATATATATATATATATATATATATATATATATATATATATATATATATATATATATATATATATATATATATATATATATATATATATATATATATATATATATATATATATATATATATATATATATATATATATATATATATATATATATATATATATATATATAGATATAGCTTGGTTCAAGTAGACGGGTTAACTTAACAACTATATCACTTCTACCTCACAGCATCAACGTAAATACCGAAGGCTATTCAATATTAAGCCAACTCCTCTAAACGTATTGACGCAGACAACAACGTACGTCATAAACGTACTTTGTTGTATCGTGTACATTTACAATAAATGTACACGTTACTTATCCCTTCAACCTCCCAGGAAGCCCCCCCTCTCAGGATGAGAAGAGACACAGGTCCCTCCTGATATTCAATTACTCATCATCTTGGCGAGTAAACGCATAGAACTGTGGATTATAACCAATCATTTGTACATAGGAGCAACAGGGAATGGCGGCCTTACCTCGTGTAGCCAGCTGATCTTGTAGACCCAAGGGTTGGCTCTGATGGAACACTCAAAATAGACGTCATCGCCCTCCTCTATATTGCTGAGGTTGAGAGAGCGGCCTGGGCGAAGTCTGGTCATAGGCACATCTGGCGGAGACATCCAAGTGAGGTGGAATTATAAATTAGTTGTCGTAGAGACTTTGGCTCGGACAGATGTATGTCTGGACAGGAAGGTACAGCAATGGGTCAAGCTATAGGACTTGTATGGGTCGAATTGGTTTTTCCATGCGTCTGGAAGGGGAGGTTTTAAAAGGGTGTACAAGAGTGTAAAATCTAGTAGTACCTATCTAGACAAAAACCACTTCATCGCTTGCCTCGACGGTTCAAGACCAAGCCACTACCATTTCACGGTGAAGCCACCAAATCCATCGGTGATCCCAGCACTAGGGTTAAAACCAAGCAATACGTCCAGCGTCTTAAAAAGGTAAGTACTAGAAGAAAAAGTATAACGAAGAAAAAAGTATGGAAGTAAACAAAATTTAAAGAAAATATATATATTATAAAATATAAAAAATTGATAGCAGCATTCTTAATAACAAGGAGACATGTTCTTGTACGGGGTAAGTGAGACGCGACATGTTGCCCAGAACACTGTGTACACCCCAGACTCACTGGTCAAGGCCCCAACCTCCACACCAACAATACAATGACAGGAAACAAACAGTCAATAAGAGGATGAAGAACTAACAAACATCAAGAATAAAAAAAAAGGTTAATGATGAAAAGAATAGGAACCGACCGCGGTCGACCAGTCGCGGCCACTACCACACCTGTCGTCGACCAGCCGCGGCCACTACCACACCTGTCGTCGACCAGCCGCGGCCACTACCACACCTGTCGTCGACCAGCCGCGGCCACTACCACACCTGTCGTCGACCAGCCGCGGCCACTACCACACCTGTCGTCGACACCCTTCGTCGAACAGCCGCGGCCACTACCACACCTGTCGTCGACCAGCCGCGGCCACTACCACACCTGTCGTCGACCAGCCGCAACCACTACCACACCTGTCGTCGACCCGCCACGGCCACTACCACACCGGTCGTCGACCAGCCGCGGCCACTACCACACCTGTCGTCGACCAGCCGCGGCCACTACCACACCTGTCGTCGACCAGCCGCGGCCACTACCACACCTGTCGTCGACCAGCCGCGGCCACTACCACACCTGTCGTCGACCAGCCGCGGCCACTACCACACCTTTCGTCGACCAGCCGCGGCCACTACCACACCTGTCGTCGACCAGCCGCGGCCACTACCACACCTATCGTCGACCAGCCGCGGCCACTACCACACCTGTCGTCGACCAGTCGCGGCCATTACCAAACCTGTCGTCGACCCGCCACGGCCACTACCACACCTGTCGTCAACCAGCCGCGGCCACTACCACACCTGTCGTCGACCAGCCGCAACCACTACCACACCTGTCGTCGACCAGCCGCGGCCACTACCACACCTTTCGTCGGTCAGCCGCGGCCACTACCACACCTGTCGTCGACCAGCCGCGGCCACTACCACACCTGTCGTCGACCAGCCGCGGCCACTACCACACCTGTCGTCGAGCGGTCACTACCACACCTGTCATCGACCAGCCTTGGCCACTACCAAACCAGTCGTCGACCAACCATGGCCTCTACCACACCTGTCGTCGACCAGCCGCGGCCACTACCACACCTGTCGTCGACCAGCCGCGGCCACTACCACACCTGTCGTCGACCGGTCACTACCACACCTGTCATCGACCAGCCACGGCCACTACCAAACCTGTCGTCGACCAGCCGCAACCCTACCACACCTGTCGTCGACCCGCCACGGCCACTACCACACCTGTCGTCGACCAGCCGCGGCCACTACCACTCCTGTCGTCGACCAGCCGCGGCCACTACCACACCTGTCGTCGACCGGTCACTACCACACCTGTTATCGACCAGCCACGGCCACTACCAAACCTGTCGTCAACCAGCCACGGCCTCTACCACACCTGTCGTCGACCATCACGGCCTCTACCCCACCAGTCGTCGACCAGCCGCGCCCTCTACCACACTTGTCGTCGACCAAGCCACGGCCACTACCACACCTGTCGTCGACCAGCCGCAACCACTACCACACCTGTCGTCGACCAGCCGCGGCCACTACCACACCTGTCGTCGACCAGATACGGCCACTACCACACCTATCGTCGACCAGCCGCCGCCACTACCACAACTGTCGTCGACCAGCCGCGGCCACTACCACACCTGTCGTCGACCAGCCGCGGCCACTACCACACCTGTCGTCGACCAGCCACGGCCTCTACCACACCTGTCGTCGACCAGCCACGGCCTCTACCACACCTGTCGTCGACCCGCCACGGCCACTACCACACCTGTCGTCGACCAGCCGCTGCCACTACCACACCTGTCGTCGACCAGCCGCGGCCACTACCACA